CATGACCATTCCTCCTGAATTGACCACATTGCCTGCCACCGGCAGTGTCACAGTAACAGTTCCTTGTCCACTGCTGGTTGTGGTGGTACTGGCTCCTGTCTGAACTATCTGGGCTCCTGCCAAGCTGGCTGCTGGGATGGTGATCATGCCTGAAACAGGGACTGTAACTTTAAAAAAATAAAACAGAACAAAAACAAATACGCACATAGAAAGAAGGGAACAGAGTTAGTCTCTCTTCTATCTGGCACACCTTCTTTTACCCTTTAATAGTCTTTAAAATGAGGTGAGAAAGTTTGGAGACTTCCCCTACTACACCACTGCTATTGTACGTGTAAACAATTTGCCTCGGATGGCAAACGTCTTAACCTCAAACTTTCAGTCACAGAATCTAACTGAAATATGAGCAGATGCTATTTCTAAACTTACCTAATCAATGCTTGCAAAAGCCCTCAAAATTTCAGTTTTAAAATGTCTTCTGCCTGAAGTCCAATCCTCTGTCCCATCCAAAACAGATTTCATCTCTTTCTCACAAACACACCATCTGTTCTTAACATATCCTTGGAAGGGCTCTGTATAGTTGTTATCTATTCACATGGATGCCTCTCACATTGAAGTACAAGCTCTTTGAAGGCAGAATACTCTCTAAGTGAAGTTCTGTGCCCTTTTGTCTTCAAGGTGATTCTGGCAGTAGTTACATGATAGGACAGAGCAGAAAAGCCCTGCAGTTCAGGCTGTAAACTTTATGGAAGTAAATGGCCACATAATATTTTCCCACGGAGCAGCTAAACACTTAAACCACTATGCCACTAGGGTTCTTAACTGCTGGTCTGTTGTTGCTGTTAAGTGCCACTGAGTTGAGCACAACTCATAGTGACCCTATGAACAAAAGATCTGGACTCTGTTCTGTAACTATCATTGTTTCTCTAATGTTCTTAGTATCCAAAGGCATGTAGTTTAGGAAGTGGATGCCAATCCTGCTTCTAAGTATGTCTTAATCTGGGAGCTCCACCAAACACTGTCTATCATGGGTAACCACTATAGCATTTGACAAACCAGTGATATAGGGTTCAAGTAACCCAAGTAGAGCAAACTGACAGACCAGTGCTGTACCACTTTAGAAGAATGTTCTTCCCAAACATAATTAACATCTGGTCTGCAGGCCCAACCACCTTTTAAATCCAAAGGCTCGCCAACCAGGTCCTGACTGACTTCAACAAGAGGATTCCAGCCCACAGTTGATTCTTAGCTAAGTCCAAACAGCTCACACATGAAATAAAAAAGTTTACACCCAACTTTCAACTAAAACAAGAGAACTTACACTCCAGAATCCAACAGCTTCATACATGAGCCTACAAACAGGAGGTCTGCTGGTCTGTACCAAACCCCAAAGCCAAACCAAGGCCACTGACGTGGCTGACTAACTCGAGACCACCTTGTATGGGGTTTCTAAAACTGGAAATGTATTTCTAGGAGAAGTTCATAACTTTGAAATGCTGTCCTTTGGCTTCTAATTAGCAGCCAAACATGCACCATTATTCCAACAGGGCTTCTAGAGTAAGTATTTTAAAAGTCTTTTTTAAAAAAACAAATAATGGAATGACTCACGGAAGCCCCAAAACAAAACAACCACCAAACCCTCCCCCACAAACACACCAGTGGAAACAGGATTCCAAAAGCACAACTTCTTTTCTGATCCATTTCTTCCTTAACCAATAAAGAAACCTCATATTACCAATCATCTATTCAGAAACAAGAACATCAAAAACTTACATAATCAGGAAAAACTCCCACACATAAAGTCTGCGTGGGTCATATATTGATAAAAGCCTATCAATAGAGACCTAGAGGACATCTTTTAAAACTACTGCAATGACTTTCTGAAGCAGAGCTGTTAAAAGAACAAAAAAGAAGCCCAATGAAGCCCACAGAGACTAAACTATCACATACCTTGCTGGAGAATGGTGCCATCTGCATTTACTGGCTGATAGACAATGGTTTGCCCTTCAGCAGTCTGTGCCACTTGCTGGCCTTGGACAGCAATGTGCTGCTGTGTCTGCAGGAAAAAGATCATGCTACAACTTAATAGATCAGAAAAATACCACAAAGAAAAATATTTCCTTTTAAGAAAAACAACAACAAAACAAACAAAAAAAACCAACCACAAAACCCCAAACAAACCAACTCCCAATCAAACCTCATCTTTTTTTATGGTCTCCTCATTCCTACTGCTGTGTGCTACGGCATCAATTCTGACTCACCCTGACTTTATTAGACCGAGCAGAACAGTCTCATAGTGTTTCCAACACTAAACATCTATGGAGGCAGACTGCCACATCTCTCTGCTATAGAGCAGCTAACAGGAATAAAGTGCCAACTTTTCCTTTAGGAGTGGAGTGGTTTTACCAACAGCACCATCAAGGTTCCTCTTATTTCTCCTATACAGGAACTATCTGGCTCAGCAAACTGGTCCTTCCATTGTGAGGCTTTGTTGACAGAAGCAGTGGAATTACCTGAGTCTGGCCAGCAGTGACAGCGGTCTGAGGCTGTTGGATGATGATCTGCTGGGTCTGGCCTTGCTGGCCCTGAACCTGCACTGCCTGCCCACCTTGGATCTGGATCTGTCCTGGCGGCACCAACTGTATCTGCAAGAGAGAATATAAAGAAAGGGTGATACCCTAGCGGTATGTGCCTCTTCTGATTCCTCAGTGTTAGTTATCCAGGAGACTCTGGAAACCAGCAAGTGCTCTGAAGTGGAGGAAATGGGACAAAAGTCCTGTATGGCTCTCAAGTATGATTTTTTAAAAAACCCCTAGCATTCCATTTATGAGACAATCAGGGAATTCTGAATACTGTATATTCAATATCAATATTAAGGAATCAATGTCAGTTTTTAAAGATATAGAAATAGAGACATATTTTGTATATCTGAAGTTTGCGAAAAATATATCCTGAATTATGTTTTTATAGATGATATTCATGTTATAATTTACTCAAAACAATCCTAAGGGGAGATATAAAAAAAAAAAGGGACTGTGTTAATAACTACTGAAGTTGGGTGATGGATACATGAATTTCATATTTTTCTTAGAAAGTTAAAGGCATTTATCTTTGAAATTTCTTTAAACAAAATGTTAGAAAAAATTCTCTTTCCAGTTTTCCCAATTCTGCACTACAATTCTACAGATGTATAATACATTTGGCCAGTTTTTAAGCATACAGAAACATTGAGGCTAGCTTATCAGACACTCCTGCAGTCACTATTCATTCAGATTTAACACATGAACTAATATCGTATTTGATTCATTTAACATTCCTCTTCAACTTTAAAGGTAACACTAGGTTAAAACTGGTCTATCTGTACAGAGCACATTTTAATCTGTCGTTATCCATGGAAATATGGAGCTATTTTGTATGTGTTAAAATACTATAAATGATCCCAGACTGTGTTAATCTTTTTGCAATATGCTTTCTTCCTCAGTCAACATAGTTTTCAAGATAAAGCCAGCTGAAGTAGAACTAGTGTATTCCTTGTAACTTATGTTTAAATATCACATTAAAGAATTACATCACAATTATCTTTTTATTTTTTAAATAAAGTTCTTATTTTATACTGGTTTACTTACAAAGTTTATAGACAATGTTTTTCACATCCGATCTTTCCCATTTCCTTTACCCAGACCTCCCTCTACCCATCAAATTGTATGACGCTCCTGCCCATCCTCATCCCTCTTTGGATCCTTCTACCAATTTTACTAGTTATCTATTTCTACAATAATGTTATACACTTGTTCACTTAGCATAATGCTGTCCAGTCCCACCCAAGTTGGGCAGTAGTTTTCAAAATCATTGCTCCTGCGTGCTGTGTAGTATTCCATAGTGTGAATGTACTATAATTTCTCAATCCATTCCACTGTGATTGGACATTAGGGCTGTTTCCATGTTCTTGCTATGGTGAATAATGCTGTTATGAACAATTACAAATCTCCATTTGTGCCTCAGTTCTCATTTTCTTAGGGTATATTTCAAGCAGTGGAATAGCTGGGTCATATGGAATCTCTACATTCAGATTTCTAAGGAAATACCAAACTGCCTTCCAGAGTAGTTGTACCATTTTACAATCCCATCAACAGTGTATGAGAAGTTCTGTGTCACCACACCGTTTTATTTTTTTTATTAACCAGTGATAAGTGAGCATGTCTGTATGCATCCTTGATAATGAAATCTATTTGGTTCCTGAGTTTGTACAGCTAAACGTCAGACAGTAATTTGGAGAGTACAGGATACAGCACTGCTAAAATCGAGCCATTTCCGCATGGCAGATATCAAAGAATAGTTACACTGATTATGAAGATTTTCTTGTCTTTGTATTCATACCCTTTACTCACGTTTCTCTTGCTTAGTTTTGTATCAACATAGAAATACATTATATATTCTGGATAGAAATCCAGTTGTATATAGTAAAAACAGTTTCTAAATCTGTACCTTTCCTAGTGCCTTTAAGTCACATTTGAAGTAGAATCTATTTGTCTTTAAGAAATCTTTTAAGTACTGCACTGGATTAAGCAAACGTTCTTCTAAAAGCTCCCCAAGTATGCTTTTCAATATCTACATCTTTAATCCAGCTAGCAAGTATTCCTATTTATATTATGATAAAGGAACTGATTTTTTTCTGTATCATTCTTGACCCACTTCTCTATTACTTATCACTTTTTGTTACATTTTACTTTCAGTATTCTTAGACTTCTCTAATTTGATTCCATTGTCTAAAACAATCTAAGATTCATAATTTAAATTTATATAAATATTTAAACATATTTGGCCATATGTATTTTTTTAATAGAAGAGAGCAAAGGCTTCGCTGGAATGCTAAAAGGGATAATGTAATTCCAAAAAGGTTAAAGAGCACTCTTCTAAAAGAAACAGCTATTCAATATACTAAGGAGAAAGGAAGCCCTTTGCAAAAGTTGTAAGCGATTTGAGGAAGAGCTATTAATTTTCTTCTAAAGTCTTATATACACAACAGAATCTGCATGCATGGGTATGTACATGTGTACATAAACACGCGTGCACACACAAAAACGAACCAGAGGCTTCATTCACTAGTTTACTTGCATGCATGGAAATAAAACACACAACCTTAAGGTCATATACTGGAACGAACTGCACATCAAATGTATCACTTCAAACTCTTATACCGACAATCTGCTCAAATATTCTTTTTAAACAACTACTAACCTGCTGCAAACCCTGTGTCCCAGACACAGGGACTTGCATGATGGTTTGACCCTGTCCACCAGGAACAGCCTGAACCATAATGGGCTGACCAGTTGATGTGATTAATTGTCCTCCACTGACTTGTACCATTAATGGCTGCCCTTGGACCTGTAAGGCAATAAAATAACAACAATGAAATAACATAAAAGATTTAAAAAAAATGGCTTTAACCAACAATAATTGGATTTATTCTGTTGCTTTGCTTGGGGGGGGGAAGATACTAAGAAAGTAAGTCTTAGGCCCTCAAATTATCCTTATTAATCAGCTACAATATTTAGGATTTTTCATGAAATGCCAAGTATAAGAAATGCAAAAAGGCCTGACAGAATGGAATACATGCAGTCTTTGAGAAATTTTAATAGTCAGAAGGTTTTTTATTACCAAACACAGGCTAACCTCATGATAAACATTTAATCTAAACATCAGGTCTACTTTATCTTTTAGATCAATCAATGGTCTCTAGTGATGGCTAGAGAAGCCACGAAGATGTGGTTTTGGTGATGGTGGCTACGTGCCATTTATTAAACTTTAAATAACACGGAGGGAGTAAATCAAGTTGCCCAGCACTGACTGAGCAGGGTAGGCAGCAAGCAGTTCTAAAATAGTTTTCCCCCATAGTCTCTCACTCATTAATGAAAGGTATGGCTTTTACTCATCTGCATGTATTCTAAGAATTTAAG